GATACTCCAATCTATAAAATAGCTTTGTCATAAAAATAATTATAAAAAAAATCACATAATATAGATATAAAATTATTGTTAATTATAACTTTAAAAAAATATTCTTACTACTTATCAAATGCAATTAAAATTATTTAACTAAAAATTATTATAAAATTTAAGAGTTGATAAAATATAATATAAAATCTAAATTATAATATGAAAGACTAAAGTGTTGCATGGGTAAAAAAAAAAGTTTTATATATATCCTTAACTAAGTATCATTAAATAAGATTTCTTATTTAATATGTGTTATAATCGTCTTTTTAAAAAAATAATAAAATAAAAATAAACACAATAAATAATATCTTAAAAATAAAAAGTAAACAATTAAATTTAAATCCTTAAATTAAAAATTAAATCTACTAAAATTAAATTAAAAAAGTAATTTATGCTATGAAATTGAGTCAAAGCTTAAAGCCAACTACCAAGACTTCTTATTAGTATAATTTCAAGGTTTAACCCCTTATTTAGCCTTTTAACTTATAGATTTTAAGATTATTAGTCCTCCACCTAAAAACTTAAATGTACTAGGCCCTCAACAATATAATTTAAAAGAATTTCCTTTTATTTAATAGATTTAAAGTGCACATCATTAATTAAATATTATCTTTATTCTAGTTAGCAACACATTAACATTTCTATCTTACTTGATATATTATTGTGATAATGAGTAGAAAATTCTCCCTTAATGGAATATAAATCTCACTCTGTCATGCTAAATAAAAGGTTAAACCTTCATTTTGATCCCCTCAACTATTGTATAGTTCTCTAATTAAATCCTTCAACTCAAAAAATCCCTTGATTTGGTTCCTATTGTTTCTCCTTTTGACCTCAACTTGGTCCTTCCTTTAAAAATCTAGTGATGTGTCCAATTAACTAACAAGAGCATGATGACATGTCAAATATTAAATATATGTGGAAAGATAATGTGGTAAAAAATAATGATATGGCAATAAAAACTTAAAAAATTCTCTTTTATCCTCCTGTTCCCCTTTCTTGTTCTTCTTCCTTGCCTTGCCTTCCTCATCAATCAATTTTTCATCATTATCAAACAACAAAACCCACAAAAAACAAAAAAAAAAAAAATCATTTTTACTTTTTGCCCCTAGGTTTAAAAGAACCCAACGATTGTTAGATAGGAAAGAACCCAACGGTTGTTAGATAGGAAAGAACCCAAGCATGCTAGGTTCAAAAGAACCTAGATTCGATAAAACCTAAGCATGCTAGGTTTGAAGTTTTGTTGTTGGGGTTCTATCATTGATTTGTTTGGGTTCAACAAACCCAAATCTAGTGTTTGAGAAGGGAGAGAGAAAATGAAAGGATTTAGAAGTTGAAGGTGAAGGTAATATGGTCATTTTATTATGTTTGGGGATTACTTAGACAATTATTTTTTGTCAGGTCATGTATTTTGCCACATTGTAAATTCCACATATTTTATTTATTGAAAAGACATGCTTCTACTGTTAACTAACATTCCACATCAACAAAAATTTAATGAAAAGACTAAGTTGGGGGCAAAATGTGAAACAATGGGGACCAAATTA